CCCCCACCCCCCTCTCCCCATCTCCCATTACACCTGTCCATGTTTTCATGGTCCCCCCCTGATAAGACAATAGCGAACTCCGTGATCAGAGTTTTATATCCTGAAATATTCTAGCTAATTTGTCGAGCTTCTGAAACATAGCAACGGTAACTATGCATGTGCATTGCTGATCGCCATCCAGTTGTCTAAGTCCTGTGATCCCCCCCAGGCCCCTGGCTATAATAAATAATTACCGGTCTATTATTGGCAGTGATTATAGGACTAAAAAGGCATGGGATCAGTCCATATGTTGACTTGGCTAAACATTTCAGTTTTGTCTTTAAAAAGGTTTACAATTGCAGTAATCAAAACCTTAGGTACCTTTTTCTTAAATAAATGTCTGTAAGTGTTAAAATACTAGTATTTGATTTACATTATATCCTATAAAAAATACAAAAATCTTTTTTGCTGTCGCGGGTTTAATTTATTTCTCAAATTACGCAAGCTACGTTGGATTAGTTTTTTTCAAATTAATGTTCGTAAAAGATCAAAAGATTCGATGATTTCACATTGCATCCTATATACCGGTTACAAAACTCAAGATTTCCCATTTTACGCAAGCTAACGTTGGCTTTTTCTTAAATAGTTTTTCGTAAAAGATCAAAAAAGTGCTTCACAATTTATCCTATATGTACCGGCAACCAAAAAAAATTTTTTTCCCAAATATTCATTTTTATTTTATGTCCATTATACAAAAAAAGACTCCAAAAGATGTGATTCACAGTTTTTATCCTATATACCTAAAAACGCAAAATGTTTTTCGCTATATATACATATTGTGATGTAAAAACTTTTTCCAATATTTGTATTTATTTTAATCCTGGAAGCCAACTGATCCTGGAAGCCAACTGATCCTGGAAGCCAACTGATCCTGGAAGCCAACTGATCCTGGAAGCCAACTGATCNATCCTGGAAGCCAACTGATCCTGGAAGCCAACTGATCCTGGAAGCCAACTGATCCTGGAAGCCAACTGATCCTGGAAGCCAACTGATCTTGGAAGCCAACTGATCCTGGAAGCCAACTTTTTCGCACGATTTATTTTACCACAATGAGCGTTAATCATGTGATTCCAAAACTCACAGGCGAATTATTATCATGGCTGGAAAGAGCATGTTCAACTGATTAGTAAACTTTCAAGTTTGAAGGAACTTAGTTCAAAACTCGCCAAGATATAAATTCTTTAAAAAACGGCAAAATTTCGTATACCAGCAAATAGAATAAGGTTTTCCAAAGCAGAATTCAAACGTTTAAAAAACATATCTTGGCAAGTTTTGAACTTATTTCTATCAAACTTCACAGTTTTACTTTTTTTTTTTAATTTGTTAAAACATGATGTTTTCAGCTATGTTGCAAATTTTTCTGCTTTATTTTTTTTTTTTTTTTTTTAATTTGTTAAAACATGATGTTTTCAGCTATGTTGCAAATTTTTCTGCTTTACTAGCTAAAAATGACATCTGCTAGCTGATTAAATTTAATATGTTAAATGAGGAAAAAGTTACACCATTCTAAAAGTGGGAATAAATGCAACTCCAGCAGACGGTTATGGACATTAATGGTCTTTTTCCCATTCCAGGCGTTATTGATTTGCGAATCATGCGTTGGTGAATCAGTATAGCTCATTACGACTGGAACAAACATTCTTATTCTCGAGAGAATGATGAATGTGGTTCTGAAATGGGAAAACATTACTTGCTAGACAAATAAGGCAGGGCCTATTCCACGATTATGTTTTATTATGGTTTGAATGCAGATCAGCACAGAGGTTGTTTTGTTATTGGATCTATCTGTGAGTATCCTGACTTAGATAAGCCCAGAGGCTGTTTCAGGGTTCTATCTGTGAGGTAGCCATGCCCTGACTTAGATCAGCCCAGAGGTTGTTTCAGGGTTTGATCTGTGAGTTATACCTTGACTTAGATCAGCCCAGAGGTTGTTTCAGGGTTCCATCTGTGAGTGAGCCAAACCCTGACTTAAATCGAGGCTGTTTTAGGATAGCATGTGTGAATTACTTTAAAGTTCAGGACTACGGCTCCAAATGCCCCCTGTTATTCCAGGACAATAAAAGTACCCTCAGGCAACATTTGTGGGCGCCCATTAGGGCTTTTGGATCGATTTGGTAATGGTATCTACAAATGCGGCTTCTTTTTATGATTCTTTAATGCTGACAAACTTATAATTAAAGATGTGATTTATGTTTTCTCAAGCAAATGTTTCTCAGGAAAACATTCCGAGCACAATCTTTAATAACTATATCCAAGCAGCAAAAAGACATTAATACTTAAACTTATAATTATTACTGGCTACTGCCAACACTTATGGACCGGAGATGAGATGAGTCGGTACGGCTAAAAGCGATTAGGTTAAAACGTGAAACGGCCACAGCAAGAAGAAAAGTCATTGTAAGAGGATCAACGATCTAAAACACCTCAAAACAAAAGACAAAGAAGGAGAGACTCGGGCTTGGTCTTGTTAGTTTTCCATAAAGCCCATGACGATAAGATAGGATAGAAAATCAGGAATACAAAAAAGGTAGATTGCTAACTACCTTAGTTTGTGGAAAAATGGAGCATGAAGGAAGAAATGGTCAAAGCACACCGTTGTTTGAAGCGCCGCCTCGAGAATGCAYCAGGGAGAATTCAGAAGATAAAGGATTTTTTTTCGGCGCGTTCTTTAGGTCCAAAGAGAGTTCCAGTACGTCCCAAGGAGATCCTAGATCATGGCGTCTGTTGGCTTTGGTAGTTTCTCTTGTTTCCATAATTGTGATTCTTGTCCTTGGAATCGCTGCCATTGTGTGCTCTGAGGTGTCTAACAGTTCCGCTGAATTCGCTTTCGCTTTTGATGCTCTGCTAGGGCTGTTTTCGTCATGTAGCGTTATGTGGCGTTTCTACAAACGTCTCGCGCCGAGTGAGGTTTCAAAGAAGGAGAAGACGGCGTGTATCATTATTGCTGTTGGCTTCGTGTTGTCAGCAGTGATGATGTTCACGCGTGCTGTTTATTGCCTTGCCAACCATGTCGAGCCATTAAAAACGATATCCATCATTGTGATTTCAACGCTGGGATTCCTGTGTTATTCGCTTTTATTCTATGCAAAATATAAAGTGGCGCAGAACCTTCACAGCGTTACCATGAGAACGGATTCGTTCGACTCGGCRTGTGGTGCTGTCATGGCTCTTGGAATCCTTGTGAGTATAATCCTTTACAAGCAGGCAGCAGAGACCTGGTGGCTTGATCCAGTCATTGCCATGGTGATTGCCATGGTAACATTTACATATGGCATTTGTATTATGGTTAAAGTCACTTTACGAGAAGGATTTGGTGAGCCAGAAGAGTATGAACAATTCTACTAATGCTTCCTTGTCAAGTTATGTTAGTTTAATCGCACTAGCCTAATTATTTTGCAAACTCGCGCTTGTATCCGAAGAGTAAAGTGGTTTGTCCAAAGTATTCCATTTGATTTGCTGCAAGTTTTATAAAAATGCGAACTCTGTGTCTTCGAACTGCACGCTTAAATTTGGTTTTTCGCTGCCGTCAATCAAACCTAATYAGTCGGTACCTTTCATATTTTTGACTGGCGGCAGCGAAAAACCAAATTTCAGCGTGCAACTCGGCATTCAAGTTGACTTCTCCCTGACGTTCAACTGGGGCCACTGTTTTCAATAGCAAAAGAATTGATGCGAAATCTTCCTGAACAAGGATTSACACAGGTACATTTTGAAAGCAAGTTTTTRAAATTCTGTCGATAAACTTGAGTGARCRCYAAATAGAYGAAGAAGTCATTGTAGCAGCTACTCGATCCTAATTCATAATGTACATTAGATAAAACGCGAGCCCCCATTGGCTAATTCACTCCCTAAGCTACGCTTTATTTCACCGGTTGAGACATGGYTTTTGATTGACAGTTCACAACGAAGTTTCTCTTCTACATTTTACTCCAAAAGGCTTAGTAAATATATAAGAACCTTCTATTTTTGACGTTTCTTTAAGCTGACTTGGCAAATCAACGAATCACAACATCCCAAAAAAGTGTTCTCGGAATTCTCGAAAGTCTAGAGGTGTTAAATTACTTCGTAAAATTTGAAATAATTTGAAATAACGAAATTTAACACCTGTAGAAATACACGACTTGGCGGAGTCGTCGTGACGCCATTGTCAAGTGAAAAAATAGATTGCCTGAAGATTAATAGCTGGATAAACAGTTTGTCCATTAGGGAGTCGGATTAAACTTTAAGGGATGGTGGTTGTTTAATTAAGAGCATCTCACAAAATAGGCAGTCACATTTTCCTTTGCATTTCGATCTTGATGACACAATATTTTTTACTCAAAGTTCTTACTCATTAAAGGATTTATATTAGGATTTATTTATCTCGGACAATGGTAACTGTCTGTAGGAAAAACTCATTCAAGAGAATAAATTGCTAAATAAATATATAATAAATCTGAACTGTCAGATTTGTCACGTAGTTGAGGGTGTAGATTTTGAAAAAAAATTTTTACTGTTTAACGCCACGAAGGCAAAAGTTTACTTTTAATTCTTATTAGATCCGTATGTATAACCAATACATGAGTGAGTTTTATACAATATTTCAGTTAATCAAGKTCATTCATTCGATTGAATCGCATTCACGTTGATCTTTCCCCATTCAACTGGTGCCACATTATTTTCAAGAGCAACAGAATTGGTGCGAAATCTTCCTGAACAAGGATTCACACAGGTACATTTTGAAAACAAGTTTTTGAAATTCTCTTGATAAACTTTAGTGAATATCAAATAGATGAAGAAGTTGTAGCAAGTACTTGATTCTGCAATTAAAGTCGTTGAAAAAGATAAATCGTTCAATACAGCCGGTGTTAAGTTATCAAGATTTCCAATGATACCACAGCAAAGCGGTCACTGTAAAAGGTAAAAAGCTTAGGAAGAAAAGGCTGACAACAACGACAGACATTTTTAGGGCATTCCTGTTTTGACGCTCCCTCAAAGATGAAGTGTTCCCTGCTTGCCCTGGTATTGTAGTTCGTCGGAGCTTGAGGGCGATACGTAAGTAGAGGATAGAGATGATAGGTAATGGGATTCCAACAGTCAGCGCAAATATCACACAATARTAAATCCTCAAGTGTAGGATTGTTGTGATACCAATTTGTGATAAGTTCATCATGCATTTTGTTGTTTTTCCTGTCTTCACAAGCGTAAAAGTAAACAAACTTGTACAAAACATGGCCAGAGAAAACATCCAGATCCCTGGGATGATGTACTTGAGTTTTCCTCTTCTCAAACCTCCTCTGAGTGGATGAACTACAGCGTAGAAGCGATCGAGAGCGATAAACACACAGCTGTAAATCGAAACAACCAAAGAAACGTCTTGCAGGTAAAACGCGAGCTTACAAAGAGCAAGTCCAAAGTCACCATCAATCAGCCATATTCCTTGATGAAAGATAATATAGGAGATATGTCTTGGTATCGAGAATAAAGGAACGAGAAGGTCACTGACCGCCATGTTGGCAATCAGAATATTGGTCATACTTCTTAGTCGAATGTCTCTACTTGTTGCCCATAGAATAAACAGGTTACCAGTGAATGAGACTACAAGTAGAATGCAGTACATCATTACTTTAACGACCTTTACAGGAAAAGTGTCTTCYAATAATCCGGAAAAGGTCCCATTAGCCATGGYTGTAGCTGTTGTATTYAAAGACATGGTGGATTACTRGATGTTTTAGTTTTAGGTGCTCTTTAGCCGTGCTATCGTTTAGTTCGAGGCCTCAATGAATATAGTTGTAGAGTACTTATGGATCGATTGAGTCAATTACTTCTCATGGAGCCGTTTCGAAGTTGTGACGTATTTCTGGATCCAATTTCTCATTCAAACCCTTCGGCCGATTACAGCCAAAATGAGATGCACCTGCATGTCAACCTTCACTTTCTGCAACGAGAGGAATATCCTTTTCTGCTCCAAGACTGTGGAATAGGCTTCCCTTAGAGATTCGTTTAAGTTCAACAGTTGCTAGTTTTAAAAATAGACTTAAGACACATTTAT